ATGCTGAATTGTGAAGACCCCACGTCATCCATCCATCCTTCCTTCCTTCCTTCCTTCCTTCCTTCCTTTCTTTCTTTCTTTCTTTCTTTCTTTCTTTCTTTCTTTCTGTGATTTCAGATGATGTTCCAAGGAAAGGAGCCTCTCCTCTCCAGGCTTGTGACCTTAAATTCATTGGATTGGTCAGTGTATGACACAAAACAGTGTCTTGGCCTGATCCAAGAAAAATCCTCTTATTTGTTTATCTTTTAAAGCAAGGCACAGGATTCGTAAGAGCATTAAGCAAGTCAGCTCTAGCTTTTCACATCTATTTTTCCTATTAAGGTCCTGAGAACAGAAGACAATTTGAATGGGCTTTCTTGTTCTCTCTTGCCCAGGTAGTTGCTGAGAGGCTTTTCTCCCCACCTGAATCTCCAGCTCTTCATCGGGACAAACCGAAGAGAAGCTCAAGGACTTTGGGTCCAGGGGAGACTATTCCAAAGAATGTTGTCACTCCCTCCCATCCCCAGCTCCTGAACATGGCTGCTCAACTACTGGAGCAGGCTGAAGGTAGAATCCTTGGGGACAGGACAGATGCCTGAACTTCATGGAGATCTTCAGCACAGCAGCAATTTTGGAAAGGGGCATTACCCTGCATTTTGTTGTGTGTTTCTAAGTGCAAAGTTTTTCTTCCTACTTGGGGAGTTTTTCCATTAAGCTTGATGTGGATCAAGATTCCTTTGTTGGTCATCCCTGGTCCTGGGGCTGAAGCGTGATCCCTCTGCAGTGCTTCTCTTGAGCGAGGAGTTAAATTAATTTGAACTCCACAATTTAAGTTAGTAATATGTGGAAAGAAAATAAGTATCTAGTTGGAGACGGGGTGAAGAGCACACAAGAGAGGCATGATACAAACTTAAACTGTGCCAGGTTATACAGCTCAGCATGTAAGTTTGCTGCTCTACGTCTGACTGGATGACTAGTTGTGTTGGTATAGCCCTGATTCAAATAGGAAGCAGCTGAAAGCTCCCATCAATGTGTCTGGGTGCTGCTGCATGGTTATTTTAATAGGAACCCTTTCAGCATGTCCCATTCCTTTGCCACCCAGCCTAGATGGGAGTACAGCCAAAGGCACTGCTCACGTTCAGTTAACAAGAGACAGAAAGGTTTGTGAGATCTGGACAATGGAAAAGGGAAGGGGGGAAAAGGAAGTCAAGAAGGTGGCTGCAGCTGTTGAAGAGCTCCATGTTGGGGGGGATTGAAGAGAAAGGGTGAGAAACTGGGCTTGAAGGAGATACTGCATAAAATGGAGTCCTAGGAATAGAAATATGGCATGGCTAATGGGGAAAGTGTTTAGGTTAGCAGGGGAATTTCATAGAGGTAGCTTGAGAAGAAGAAGAGATGGTTAAGTAATGGAGATGCTACTTTTCTTTTTTGTAGACTCAGATGGCATGGAGTTTGAGGACGACCCTCTCTTACAAGTGCTGAGGGGTCAGAGGGAATCATTGCGCCACCAGCTTCGGTAAGTAGCCACCCTTCATAAAATGTTTGGAGGCCCTCTCATTGGGATGGTGATTGCTACAGAGTTGCTTCTAGCTGCTAAGGAGTGTTGCCTTGGGGCTGCCAATGAGGGATAGAAATTTAAAAACAAATCCATCTTCCTTGACACCAGGGCTCACGCTGTTAAGAGGTAAGAGCAGATCAGGATCCTGATGTTCTGAATATGGTCTTTGGGATGCTTTCCCTCTCTTCCATATCTGGTTTTAGCAGCGATTCCATAAAAAGCTTTGTCAGAAGTCACCTATTACATCATCTCGGGGTGGTGCATATGTTTCTTCCTCCACTCCTGTTATTTTCCCAGTCTGGTGGGTTTACTGAGGGATATGGAAAGACCAAGATGAGTCACTAAACTGAATCTGCTTCTCCTTAGTTTGATCTGATCTTCTAATACTTTAACAGTGATCACTGTCCATTTCTCTAAAGTGCTTTTCTGGGTATAGACGGAAAAGTGGGTATTTAGTACTGAAGAAGCCACAGTGCGCATCATATAGGACTGAGTGCAGAATTCAACTGATCATCGGCGTGGGGGGGGGTTGTTTTGTTTTTTAAGATTCAGGCTCCTGTATAAACTAGAAAGCATGTGCTCAGTGCCAGAGTATCTAAAAATTCAGAGTTGTGCCAGCTTATTTTTAAAATGTTCAATAAAGTTTGGCATCTTGCTGGTCCTGGAAAAGCAGAACAAAGTATGGAAAGCATGAGCAACATGTAAACTTGTCTAATGTATATGCACATCTTGTTTAGGCTTTGTTGGTTTTTCTTTAGAATACAGAGTGGAAATGCTCATTGCTTTCTGGAGTGCGCAGTTGCATTGCTCCATGCTTTTCAACCATGGTTCCAATCAAGATCTGTTGGATTTTGCTGGCCATTGTTTTCTGCTGTTAACTCTGGTTTCATGTTTTGTGTTGCTCTGGTGCCCTCTGGCCCTCAAAGTGGTATGCATTTATGTTTCATTTTCTTGCAGAGCTGTGGATTTCCAGATCACTCAGCTGGAAAGTAACTCTTTTGATCAGGGCATCTCTCACCACTGACCACCTCCTGTGTTCTCTTTGCTGAACCTTGGGTGGTTTAAGGTCCCTCCCTCTACTGGTACTAAGGCATTGCATGAGTCCTGCATTATCAGGCACTTCAGGATGAATTCAGTCAAAGGGTTTTGAAGGTGCTTTTTATTTATTTTTATTAACTCTTTTTGATGACTGCCTGCCCTTAGCAAGCCAGCATATTCCTAGAAGATATCTGGGGCTGCAGAATAACCAAGTGATGATTTGTAGGGATGTCCCTACTGCATATTCAGTGTGCTGTTTCCATGGTTTCAGTGTATACTTCACATTGCATTTAAAATAAATGTGTATTTTTGGATCAAAACTAATTGTGATGATTTGCATTAAGACAGTGTAATCTATCCAGAGCTTTGTGTCTAATGAAATAGCGATCAATGGAGTCCAAACTCGTTTATCTTGGAGAAATGGCAATCAATATTTTCTTGTCCAAAGAACACAGGGAACTTTTCGAGGGAAAAAAGGTAATTTGTTTTGGAACAGAAAAGAAGGCTAAAAATATCACTCTCTAACCCAAATAAAGTTAAGCTTGCTACTTTTTCTGTTCCACCTTTTCAGTTGGTAGTCCAAGGTGATTTACATCAAAATATTTTCAAAAATCCATAAAACCCATCATGACATCTTTTAGCAAAGCAGTAAGATCTGCAGGGAAACCAATATGAGATTGAAAACAGTACCAGAATTAGAGTTGGAGAAGACACAGGAAAATAAACAAATGAACAGAGTCTAAGAAGGAAAATAAATATAGGTTAGGTTCATCAGTCTGGGGAGGATGTCCCACAGTTATGGCTTTTTTTAGTTACAGTGCTCATGATACTTCCCTGCCAAACTTATTTATATATAAATAAATTGTTAACTGTCTTGAGCATTGGGTGGGAAAAAGTTCCAAAGTGTAAGTTCATGTGCACAGTCAGATTCCTAGATTCTTTTGCAGCTGCTGATTTTCTGAACATATCCTACATAACAGCACATAAATTAACTTCAGCTGAGTTCAAGTGTGAGTCTTCTTTGGCACTGCTTGTATTGTTTTTCTAGACTTTCTCCTTTTTTAGCTTACCCCACTGTCCACACAGCTGCTTTTTCTTAAGTGTTTTATTGCAAAGAAACCTGCTTTAACTGGCTGGATCTCCATTTGGAGAAATTGTAACTATCTGGGACACCAAGCTTATTTGGGGTATGTGGCTTAAATTGAAGAGGCACGAGACAGGATGGCCTAGATAGTATCCATCTTGGAGATGGCTGCGTCAGGCAAAGAACAAGGTGCTTTTTATCACTTAGAGCAGTGTTCCTCAAGCTTGATAACTTGAAGATGTGTG